CTCCCAAACTTGACTACCTTATTATCTGTCCCCTTAGCAAAATCCTGCTACATCAGAATTGTTGATAAGTTAGCAAAATCCTGCTAAATATGACCCCTACACGACAAGGTTAAACAGGCCATACATCCTGCTAAATTTGACCCCAGGTCAGCATCAGCCGGCTGCGGAGGCACAAACACTACGTCACAGACTAGACGTCCCCCCCCCCTCCTAGACTTCAGACGGTCACACTAATTTACAGATCCTAAACTATATCACAAACACAATTATCTACGGCTACTTAGCTGCTATCTTCAAATAAAATATGACGCTGACCACGAGCCAAGGCTAATAAATGCATAGCTAATCATCTGTACACTTTGAACAATTAAATGGCTACTAAATTCGTAACAGTATACAAAAGTAAGTATAGTCAGTCATTGTGACACGTACTACAATATCTGTATACAACAGTAAGTATAGTCAGTCACTGTGACACATACTACAATATCTGTATACAAAAGTAGGTATGGTCAGTCACTTTGACACGTGCTACAATATCTGTATACAACAGTAGGTATAGTCAGTCACTATGACACCTTACTATACAATAGTAAGAATAGTCTGTCACTGTGACACGTACTAAAAGATAAGTAACAACAGTAAGAATAGTCAGTCACTGTGACACGTACTACAAGATGTGTATACAAAAGTAGGTATAGTCAGCCACTATGACACGTACTACAATATCTGTATACACCAGTAAGTATAGTCAGTCACTATGACACGTCCTACAATATCTGTATACAACAGTAAGTATAGTCAGTCACTGTGACACGTACTACAAGATATGTATACAAAAGTAAGTATAGTCAGTCACTGTGACACGTACTACAATATCTGTATGCAACAGTAAGAATAGTCAGTCACTATGACACGTACTACAATATCTGTATACAACAGTAAGTATAGTCAGTCACTATGACACGGACTACAAGATTTGTATACAAAAGTAGGTATAGTCAGTCACAATGACACTTACTAAAAGATATGCATACAATAGTAAGAATAGTCTGTCACTGTGACAGGTACTAAAGATATGTATAAAACAGTAAGTATAGTCAGTCACGGTGACACGTACTAAAAGATATCTATACAAAAGTCAGTATAGTCAGTCACTGTGACACGTACTACAAGATAAGTATACAAAAGTAAGTTAAGTCAGTCACTGAGGCAGTACTACACGATGTGTATACAAAAGTAAGTATAGTCAGTCACTGTGCCACGTACTACAAGATATGTATACAAAAGTCAGTATGGTCAGTCACTATGACAGTTCTACAAGATATGTATACAAAAGTCAGTATAGTCAGTCACTGTGCCACGTACTACAAGATATCAATACAAAAGTAAGTATAGTCAGTCACTGTGCCACGTACTACAAGATATGTATACAAAAGTAAGCATAGTCAGTCCCTGTGACACGTACTACAAGATAAGTATACAAAAGTAAGTTAAGTCAGTCACTGTGGCAGTACTACACGATGTGTATACAAAAGTAAGTATAGTCAGTCACTGTGCCACGTACTACAAGATATGAATATAAAAGTAGGTATATTAAAGCACTGTGACACGTACTACAAGATATGTATACAATAGTAAGTATAGGTAGTCACTGTGACACGTCCTACAAGATATGTATACAAAAGTCAGTATAGTCAGTCACTGTGGCACGTACTACAATATCTATATACAAAAGTAGGTATAGTCAATCACTATGACAGTTCTACAAGATATGTTTACAAAAGTCAGTATAGTTAGTCACTATGACAGTTCTACAAGATATGTATACAAAACTCAGTATAGTCAGTCACTATGACAGTACTACAAGATATGTATACAAAAGTAGTATATACAGTCACTATGACACATATTACAAGATATCTATTCAAATGTCAGTATAGTCAGTCACTATGACACATACTACAAGATATCTATTCAAATGTCAGTATAGTCAGTCACTGTGACAAGTACTAAAAGATATGTATACCACAGTAAGTATAGTCAATCACTTTAACACGTACAACCAGATATGTATACAAAAGTCAGTATAATCAGTCACTATGACAGTTCTACAAGATATGTATACAAAAGTCAGTATAGTCAGTCACTGTGACACGTACTACAAGATAAGTATACAAAAGTAAGCATAGTCAGTCCCTGTGACACGTACTACAAGATAATTATACAAAAGTAAGTAAAGTCAGTCACTGTGACAGTACTATACGATATGTATACAAAAGTCAGTATAGTCAGTCACTGTGACAAGTACTAAAAGATATGTATACAACAGTAAGTATAGTCAGTCACTTTAACACGTACAACAAGATATGTATACAAAAGTCAGTATAGTCAGTCACTATGACAGTTCTACAAGATATGTATACAAAAGTCAGTATAGTCAGTCACTGTGACAAGTACTAAAATATCTGTATACAACAGTAAGTATAGTCAGTCACTTTAACACGTACAACAAGATATGTATACAAAAGTCAGTATAGTCAGTCACTATGACAGTTCTACAAGATATGTATACAAACGTAAGTATAATCAGTCACTGTGACACGTACTACAAGATAAGTATATACAAGTAAGTATAGTCAGTCACTGTGCCACGTACTACAAGATATGTATATAAACGTAGGTATATACAAGCACTGTGACACGTACTAGTAAGATAAGTATACAAAAGTAAGTAAAGTCAGTCACTGTGCCACCTGCTACAAGATATTATACAAAAGTAACCATAGTCAGTCCCTGTGACACGTACTACAAGATAATTATACAAAAGTAAGTAAAGTCAGTCACTGTGTCAGTACTACACGATATGTATACAAAAGTAAGTATAGTCAGTCACTGTGACACGGACTACTAAATATGTATACAACAGTAAGTATAGTCAGTCTCTTTAATAGGTACAACAAGATATGTATACATATGATATGTATACCTTGATATGTATAAAAAAAAAAGTCAGTATAGTCAGTCACTGTGACTCACACTACAAGATATCTATACACTGTGACACATACTACAAAATATGTATACAAAAGTCGTGTCGTTAGGAATTCAATAACTGACCCAGTTTTCGGTAATATATTTTATAACATAGTAGTGAACTGGATTTGGGTATTGGAACAATAAGGTAAACACGCACAATCTTAAAATGGAAATTTAATGTTCCCTTCGCATTCTATTACATCCTATATGTACAGATATATTCAAATAAGAAACATTTGCATTAAAATAACAAGGACACATGCTGGTAACAAGAAACTCACTCAGTGTTGATGTGAATCTGTTAACTCGTTCATTAATATGTTAATGATGAATTGGAGAGACTTGAAGGATGTCCTGAGAAAAACTATCTGCCGTGAGTCGACCCAAGAGCCGTTCAACTCTGGCTGCCTCATCGAGTTTTTTTTTTTTTATCTAAATACGTTCCTATCTACATTGGAACATGTGTATGAATAAACCAATATTTGAATGATTAAAACAAATAAACACACTCCTATAAAATCTTTTGGGAGTAACTTCTTGGCTAATTTGAAATATAAACTTTAAAAACGTCAAACTTGTATGAAACGATCGACGTGTTTTTAAACAATTTATATTAAAATAACCAACGGTGACATTTTTTGTGTTTTCCTAATGCTTTTGTATGATTACATCTATTCAGCACAACGCTATTAAAATATTAACGTATAGGGTACCCTTGTGTCAATTTTAATCGCGAAGAAGACTTTTAATCAGAGTGTTTTGGCTTTTGTGTATTCTCCTCACTATGTAGAAGTTGAAGCACCCTGAAGGATTTTTTTTCCTGGCTTTGAATAACTTCTCCTGTCAGGTATTACTTATGCTTTGTTGCTAATAAATTGGACACTCGTTTTGATGCCATTCTTGTAAGGATAAATTGGTCAAGTGTAAATGTATGCTTTGCATTGTAAATGTTCCTAGTTCGATCAAGTCGATGCAATATTTGTGTTTTCTTTTTTTTCATTCCCATTTTTCAACATTCAAATTTCGAACAACCACATTTCTGTCGAATACATGTAAACATGTGTTTTTTATGCAATATTCATTTTGAAAAGGTCTTAAACGAATATTTTACAATAATAATATTGGTCATAATGTTATTTAACATGTTCGTACCCTAAACCTTAAGATTATATTAACAACAATACAAGGAAGGTAGTTTTGGATATTCATTTCAGCACAATTCCACAAGACTTGTTTACAATATTGATGTTCTCGTTCATTGATTAATTGAAGGCCAGCTCTGGATATTTAATCCAGCACGACTACATGAGATAAGTTTATAATATTGATATAGCATATATTAAGTACAGGAAGGTTAGCTCTGGATGTTTAATTCCGCATGATTCCATTACGCACGTTTACAAAATTTATATTACATATATGTATAACAGGAAGGGTAGATCTGATTGTTTATAATACGATTTAATTATAAACATTTACAAAATTGATATAATGTTCATTCATCACAGGAAGGGCAGCTCTGGATGTTTAATTCAGCACCTTTTTATTAGATCAGTTTACAATATTGATTTAACATTTCTTGATTACAGAAGGGGCAGCTCTGGATGTTAAATTCAGCCCCTTTCTATTAGATAAGTTTACAATATTGATATAACATTTATTGATTACAGGAAGTACAGCACTGGATGTTTAATTCAGCACGATTCAAAAACATTCGAAAACACAAACAATATAAGCTTTAACAATACTGCCTCTTGGAGTGGGACTACAAGCAGCTGGAATGTAAGTGTGTTTCTACAATATCTGATGTATTCAATTGATCGCAAAACTTATCTGGTGTGCTCTTTAATAACATTTTTAATAAATGACATATTAAAGTCATCAAACCCGAAAATTGGAAATGCTCAGCCTTGGTTTATGTTCACCTTTATTTTATGTTTGTTCCTGTTTTAAGTTCATAACGGGACGAAATATATCAATGTGATTTTAAAACAGAAAAGAAAGAAAAAACCCGATAGGATGAAATCATAGGTTGTAAACTTGTTAAGAGACTGGAAGACTCACATATACAAAAACGATATGTATCTCATTTTGCGGCAATCGGTAGGTACTTAAGTGGTTGATGCATGTTACAAGTATATGATCATCCTGGTGAAAATTATAACAGAAATAATTCATGCAGCACTACGTGCTTTAAACAGAGTAGTTTTGGAATAATAAACGTTTATATGTCAAATTAAGGTTAATGACATTTGTTTTCCTGGCTACTCGGGTTGCAAAGACTTTTTAAGCTATCAAAATACATTAAGTTCTTTAAAGACAAGACAAGTCTTATAATTTACATCTTTGCATCTGACGTAAAATGATCCATTCTTACAGTTATTACACTCTAGGTGTTACATAAAACCAAAATGTATTACCTTTCTACTTATTTAAGACAGCTACTCCCCGCGTTTATCGTACGAACTAAATTTATAGTATATATAGGAACACTGTAAGAATTAGTGTTGAACACCAACGCAATTAACGCTTTGTCCTTTTTTTAAACTGAAAAATAAAACCATAAAATAAAAGAATGACGTCTCAACACATGATTATTTAACTGTATGTTAGCTCTCGGAAACGTTTAATAGGGATTGAGTGCTTATAAAAAGTTTGAAGGAAATGGTGAATAATTATTCATTTCAACAAGTTTTATTAAAGAAGATACATAAAAGGAGTAGGCTAGGCCTATATAAGTTTATCCTAAATGCAAAATAATTATTAAAATAAAACTGTTAATCTATTTTATTTAAAAATGTGTTCCCCAAAACCTCATTTTATTGTATTATTGCAATTGTCTTTTTCTGTTTAGAAAGTCAGTTTACTCAAACGAAAAATCACACTTACAATTTGCCGATTTGTAATTCAACTTCATGCGTGATAATAAATCATACTTAAATCCAGTTTTAGAAGTGTTAGGAAGTAAACACTAATAAAATACATCGTTAATTTGGCCTTACGAAGAAAATTTATATGACTTTTTTGTGTAACTGAAATAGGAAACAACCATATCACTGTTTCAAGAAGCAAGGACAACCTAAACGATGAACTCAAACTCAAACGCAAAACAGTCTTATCTAAGGACAGTCTGTACAATCGCTTATTAGGTGTCCAATCAACACGTTTACAAAGTTGATATTTGTGGCTGTTTGTGGCTGAAATGATTGGAATCTTTCTTAAATGAGATATTTTTCTTTTCAATCTTGGCTTTACCATGTTTCACTGACATGTTTCAATTGAATACAATTTTAAGTGGAAGTAGTGGCTTCACTGTTTCCTGTTCGACTTCACTTGTCTATTGGAGTTATATCAGCACAGGTCTTTCTATTATCTGTAGCGTGCTAAATCATAGAATTTCACACTGTAACCGACAGCCATGTTATGTGTTCTAACTCTAATATATCGAGTCCTCATGTTATTGCTTAATTTCTACGGAAATCGAGAATACGGTCTGTAATAATTGTTGAAAGTTTTAGATATTTCATACTTTCAGTCGAATCTGCTCGCGTTAATTAATCCTTTCGACAAAGATACATCAGGACTTGGTGATTTGATAGACATATTGAATGCCCCCCTGTCTATAGAGCCCGGATATAGTCAGAGCTGTCCAGGTGACTATACAATTGTGAAGACGAACCACACGAGGTAAGCATCCTATATATATATATATAATTTATTATCCCCCGCTTTCACCGAACGGGGGATATTAATTTGGGTTCGTCCGTCTGTCAATCTGTCTGTCTATCTGTCTGTCCTGCTCCGTTTCCGTGGAATAACTGCTACAAATGTTCACCAATTTTCTTCAAACCTGGTGTTCCAGGGTTCAATATTTTTTTCTTCAATTTCAACAAATTCAATTTCAAAGGTGAATATTTTAAGTGTGAAACATAACATGTTTTGATATGAGATATGAGTTTGGAAATGAGGACAATATTTAAGATTTGTTATAATATATAAAATAGTGTATTCACTATGTTTTCCATAATGTAAAATGTTTGAGAGTCTCGAATCCGGCATCCATGACAGGATTCCCTCCACTCATGCGATACAGACCACAAATGTCCACATTGGCTTATCAGCCACTGGTCATCCACCCATGAGTTTTGGGGCCAGTGATGGATACTGCATTTAGATTTTCACAGTTAAGACAATTAAGAAAGAAAAAATTTGGCGATTTTGAAGTGTTGGTGATTCAAATCAACATTTTTTATACATGCATTTTGAAGGGATTTGTTAATAAATAGGTAAATCACGGATTTTAAATTCTCTTTAGAAAATTTTATACGATGTATATGAATGACAAAAATGAGTAAACAGAAAGATGAAAAGTGAGGTTTTGAATTTGTCCACCTTGATTAGATTGTCCTTACTTAGTAATTATTCTATCACATAAAACAACACTATACAATAATTATAATTAATTATACATAGCATACAAAACATACAAAATATATGCCTATCAGATCAAAAGGGGGAAATTCGGCCATAGGAAAAGGAAAGGGTGATGATGACACACAATGTTTATTATGTAGAAGCACAGTTATAACTGATGGTCTTCATATTTAGGAGACATAATATCAAATCAGAAATACATAACGTATTATATATGTGGAAATATATGTGTAGCTCTGACAAACTCAGCAATACATTCGAATATATTTACTTTACATTAGTTTGTTCATCACAATCGCCACAGCCAGATAGAAGTACATCCAGAGTGTAGTGATTGTGATTAACATCAAATAATTTATCCTTGAGGGTTTTACATGGTTGATCATACTTGTTACAAATGAGAAAAAAATGATGTACTGTTTCATGGGCATTACCACAGGTACAAGTTTTTTTAAATTCTTGAAAAAGTTTTTTTCTAATATTTTACTAAAAAATGAAGTTATAAGAGCGTAGATCTCGGGCGCCTAAGCCGCCCGAGCGCAGCTCTTTAATGGTCACGCATACGTGCGTAAACAGAGTTGCTTCTCCTTGCTACACATCGGATCTACACATTGCCTTTAATTTTTCTCGTCTGGAAGTAGACGTCCAGTGGGGAACAGGAAATGTATCCTTAAAGCAAAGACAATTGTGTTTCAACCCATACATGAACATCTTCAGATAGTGAAAGCAATCCGCATGTTTTATTACTTGTTTATTTAGATAAAATCTAATATACAATCTGAGTGAGAAAAAAAATCAATCACATAAATTATGGTAATATTAGGCATGACATTTCGTTCAGAGACTATCATACTATGACGCCACAAGCACGTCACACTTCATCGGCCTTCATCGGTTATTTCCGGAAGGATGAATAATAACCGAAAAAATATTGGAACTGATGTCCGTTGCATTTATCTCTTTGTCGGTGCTTCGTGACTTTTTTTATTTCAGTTTTTGCCAGGGGCACAAAAATTTAAAATACGGATATTTTCTGAAGATCCTTTTTGTCATCAACCAGGCTCTGTTAATAAGAGGCGCATTAAATCAATAGGTCAACGTGTACATATATTTATCGTCTAAAATTTCATCAGCTTTTGATTTCCATTTGCTGGGAATATGAACGAAAAACATTTTTGAAAGTCTAGTTATAGTCTTTACAACTCATGTATGCATCACCGCTCATAAATGAAACAATGGATAATTCATTTACATTTTATGTCGAAATCAACAATAATTGTCCAGACAACCAACCCGAGTTCAACGCCCTTTATCAGCAACGTATTACATTTTTTCACAACACATGCCGATTTATAAGTAGTTACAGACAGAAACTGTTTTATTTTATTTTGGCATCATTATCTGTCAAACCTCGGTGACAGTTCCAACATTTGAAATTCAACCCGGTCCTACATATCGACAATCTCAGTTACATAAAGTCTTACAATGTTTGTTTTTTTTTCTTTTTTTTAAACTAACATCTCTATACATTTACTTATAGTCAAATAGTTATGTAATATGCACTTTTTTCTATAGCAATTACCAAACAGTTTTTTCCCAACTTGTCTCAATCATTCTGTTTGTGCCCTGACGGAAGCACGCAGAGGATTTAATTCTTAACGTGGGAGGAAGCTTGAGTATCCGGAGAAAACCCGCGTGGTCCGGCAGATGACCGGGATTGAATCTGACCATCTTGGTGAGGACGAGCGCGCTATCCACTGCGCCACCCGACCCATCATATACGTTACACACATGAACAAATATCTACTTTAGCTTCGACTGGAAAAAAATGACGTCATTGATATAAAAAATATAAAGTGAACACATTTTTACAATCATCAATAATACAAAAAATCTACATACGGGAGACCTGGGCAAGTTCGGCCTAGCTTGATATTTTTGTTTTGAGCTGATATTTACAACTTTAAAGATCTTAGCAGTTTAGTGCGCTAGGCATTCACACGAAAATGGCGAGGAAAACTCTCATGTAAAATTACTAAACAGGAGAAAATTACTTCTGTGAGAGATAGAAAGAAAATCATGATCTCGCTTCTAGTTATGCAAACTTTCTGTAAACGGAATTGCTACTTTTTTTACGGTCAAATGTGAAACAAACTGACAGCTTCAAATGATATACATAAAAGCCAAGCCAAGCACTCACTACCGTATTGTTGTACGATAAGACTTTATTAAAATATCCTTTCGGGCCCGAACTGGTTCGGCCAATGATACCGGGGCAAGTTCGGCCCATGTAACACATAAAAAGTCGCAAGATTGGCGGTAAAATCTGACGTTGCATGCTTTATGACGTCATAATTGAGCTGATTTCAATGGGGGCCGAACTTACCCGAAAGTCTGTCCGAACTTATCCCATGGCGGGGCTCGTTAGGCCATCCGATCTTCCGACAGGGAAAATTAAATGATGTTCAAAAACGGACGAGCTGCCATTCTTCCCAGAACGGACTAAAATAAAAATTTGTCCGAACTTACCCCAGTGTCAATTTCATTAGAGCTTGTGTTCTATTGTAATACCTCGACTAGCCGACTCTGAAAGCAGTATTCTGAATCAGTAAATACCAGAGATCAACAAATGCTACGCTCTTTTAAGGCTTTGCATTTACTTAATAGAAATTGGACGGTAATTTGAGACATCATTTTTATCACTTTTACCTTTATACATAGCATTAATATTAACCCATTTCCAAGGCAGAGGAATATTGCCAGATGACATGGTTTTATTAAATAACATAGTAAGGGAATTATTAGTGATGGAGAAAGAAGTTGAAACTTTCGGTATAATTTCATCAGATCCTGCAGGTTTCTTATCATGAAGTACAGTCAGTTGATCCCTCACATCCTGTTCTTGAAATAAAATGTTATTAAGTATGTTAGGAGACCCAGGAACAGGATCAATATTATCAGAGGGTGTTGATATGGCTGTAAAATAATCAACAAGACTTTCGGCTTTATCAAGTGGATGAAACAAAACAGTGCTTTTGTAATTTAATGGTGGAATAATGGGTGACTTGTTGTTAATCTTTAGAATAGTTTTTGCGGTTTTCCACCATTTAGATGATGAGACGTTGGGATCATTTAGAGAGTGTTCTAAATTTTGTATATATCGATCTTTAGTGGTACGTATTAAGCTGATGGCTTCATTTCTGATGTTCCTAAAATTTGCCCAATGATCTGAATTATTGGTCTGTAATGCTTTTTTTTGGATTCTATTCCTCTGTCTTAGTTTTAAACTTATCTCGTTTGACATCCATGGCTTATCATTTGATCGGATAGTAATTTTCTTTATAGGTATTCAGTCATCTATATCTTTATTTATAGCATCAACAAGTACAGTATTAAAACCATTTACATCTTGTTGTTCATTTATACTTACCCAGTTTATGTTATCAATCATCTGATTCATTTTGATAACATCAACATTATTATACAGGAGGACATTTTTTGTATATGCATGTTGTCTAAATACAGAGTAAGAAGCACTGAAGTTGATTACAGAGTGATAACTAAAAGGTGAAGGAGGTACAATTACAGTTTTAACAATAGTACCATTATTGGTAAGGACAATATCAATTGAGGACGAACAATCCTGAATTATTCTTGTAGGATCTTTTACATAATTGTACAGATTATGTTTTGTTAGAAGTCTTTTGAAACGGGAGTTTGGCTGAATATTGCTCATATTTACATTAATGTCACCAGTAATAATAATGTCTGCATTTTTTCGCCTCGAGTCATCAGTTACATGATCTAGTAAATTATGAAGCTTGTTCCAGTAATCAATACTACTGTCAGGAGGTATTTATATACAACCCAGGAGGAGTTTTTTGTTGCTAAGTGTAATCTCAGACCATGATAATTCTTAATCAAGAATCTCGAGATCTAGTCTTCTTCTCATAATGATATTGTCCTTATAATAAATCATAATACCTCCCCCAGGACGCAGATCTCGTCTTTTCTGAAAATTTGTTCAGAAACAATTTGGAGTAACAAGTCATTGTCATGAATCATCTCATTAAGATGGCTTTCAGTTAAACATATAATATCTTTATCACTCAATTCAGCTTTAACTATATCCAGTTTATTTCTTACTGAACGGATGTTTAAGCAACCAATGTCAAGACTGCATAAAGGATCTTGCTTTTTTCAATATCCATATACATTATAATTAGTATTAATATTAGAACAAGTGAGAAATGGTCTTTTGAATAATAATATATGTAATACAGGAGTTTGTGTCTGCCTAGTTTGCCAGAGAATAACCAAGACTGATTGTTACATGTACAAAATGTACATATAAAATAATAATAATCAAAAGCAATGATCAGAGATTGACAACCACTGGGATGCACTCCATGCAATATAAACATACTATACTTGTAAGCACAAATATTACCCGTTAACAAACGGATAACATTTCATTATAAAAACCATGGGGTACAAAACAGCAGTCACAATACTCTTCATATAATACTGGCCACCATTAGAAGTGAGATCTGATAAACATATTTTGTGTGGTAATAAACATGATAAAGATAAAACGGAGATATTTACATACACAACTATTATATACATCAATGTTACCTTCATACAGCCGACTGCATGTAGCTTGTGACAGGGATTTTACCTATATGACATTTGGAGACGTCTTTAAAAAACAACTGTTCAGTGTAACTGGAGAACTTGTTGCAGAATAGTGGGTTAAATGCCAGTAAACATCTAAGTTATCTAGATGATTTGTATACTAAACTTAACCAGCTACTGTATTATTCCGGATATTTCAATTCTTACAACACTGCATACTGTATTTTAGATTTTTAACAGAAAATCGTACTACAATTGAAATTGTGATTTCTATTGTTATTCAGTCATTTTAGATAAGTTTCAGAGAAAGAGGGATGAACAGAAACAACATTTGCAGGGTACCAGGGTTAAATGCCTTAAGGACTCGGCCAAGTTCGATGACCACTTTCATCAGACTTTATTTGGCGGAGTTATGGCCCATTGAATAACGAAAAACGTCATTATCTGCCGTTTCCGTGCAATAACTGCAACAAATGTTAACCGATTTTCATCAAACTTGGTACCAGATTTTAATGCTTTAAGGGCTCAGCAAAGTTCGATGACCACTTGCAGCTGACTATATTTGGCGGGGTAATGGCCCCTTGTCATTATCTGCCGTTTCTGTTCATTATCTCTCGCAAATATTGTCCGATTGTCTTTAAACTTAGTAACAAGGTTCAACGCATTCAGGGCTCGGCCAATTTTGACAAACACTTTAATCGGACCTCATTTCGCGGAGTTATGGCCCCTTGATTAACGAAAAACGTTATTATATGCAGTTTCCGCTTAATAACTCTAGCAAATATTCGCCAAATTCCTTCAAACTTGATACCAATGTTTGTGTTCCTCTGTCTTCCACCCATCTTGGGCACTCTTTGGATTTCATGTGATAATTGCTGTAGATATTGTGCAGATATTTCAACCAAATTCCGTATGCACATCCGACTCATGCCAACCGATGTCATTTGTGCATATTTACGGATAATTAATGAGAATAGTAAATTCTGATGGATTAAACGATTTATTTACACTGTAATACCTACATGTTCAATAAAAAGTCTAACTTCTGCAGAAGGCTTTTTTTCTTCGAGTTTCAGGCTATACTATACATTACACTGTGTATGTCTCAACAGCACGATACTCACATGTTTAAACCTAACCTCAAAAATGTTTACCTACAATATGTCCTGCAAGCAGAGGAGATAAATTCAACGAATTTGCTTGCTGATTGTTTCTTTGATGTCAATGTCTTTAAATTGTCTGAGGTGTACCATGGTAGGCAGAGGTTTTTCCTAGTTAAGCCGTCATCTGTGGCGATAAAATGATGAACCGTTTCCTCTTTCTTTAACCGAAATTTGTTCCTGTATTGACTCATTTACACAGACACGAATATGGTCGTTAGCTACAATATGGTCGTTAGCTATAATATGGTCGTTAGCTACAATATGGTCGTTAGCTACAATATGGTCGTTAGCTACAACATCGTCGTTAGCTACAATATGGTCGTTAGCTATACTATGATCGTTAGCTACAATATGGTCGTTAGCTATACTATGGTCGTTAGCTACAATATGGTCGTTAGCTGCAATATGGTCGTTTGGTCGTTAGTTACAATATGGTCGTTAGCTACAATATGGTCGTTAGCTATAATATGGTCGTGAGCTATAGTATGGTCGTTAGCTACAATATGGTCGTTGGCTATAATATGGTCGTTAGCTACAATATGGTCGTTAGCTACAATATGGTCGTTTGGTCGTTAGCTTCCATATGGTCGTTAGCTATAATATGGTCGTTAACTACAATATGGTCGTTAGCTATAGTATGGTCGTTAGCTACAATATGGTCGTTTGGTCGTTAGCTACCATATGGTCGTTAGCTATAATATGGTCGTTAGCTATAATATGGTCGTTAGCTACAATATGGTTGTTAGCTACAATATGGTCGTTTGGTCGTTAGCTACATTATGGTCGTTAGCTACAATATGGTCGTTAACTACAACATCGTCGTTATCTATAATATGGTCGTTAGCTACAATATGGTCGTTAGCTACAATATGGTCGTTAGCTATAATATGGTTGTTAGCTACAATATGGTCGTTAGCTATAATATGGTCGTTACCTACAATATGGTCGTTAGCTACAATATGGTCGTTAGCTACAATGTGGTCGTTAGCTATAGTATGGTCGTTAGCTACAATATGGTCGTTTGGTCGTTAGCTTCAATATGGTCGTTAGCTACAATATGGTCGTTAGCTATAATATGGTCGTTAGCTACAATATGGTCGTTAGCTACAACATCGTCGTTATCTATAATATTGTCGTTAGCTACAATATGGTCGTTAGCTACAATATGGTCGTTAGCTACAATATGGTCGTTAGCTATAGTATGGTCGTTAGCTACAATATTGTCGTTTGGTCGTTAGCTACAATATGGTCGTTAGCTACAATATGGTCGTTAGCTATAATATGGTGGTTAGCTACATTATGGTCGTTATCAATAATATGGTCGTTAGCTACAGTATGGTCGTTATGGTCGTTAGCTACAATATCGTCACTAAGATGGTTAAAGCAGCGATTGTCTATACGTTCAAAATAGGATGAAATTAACAAGTTTAAAACATTTTAAATTTACTGGTCATCAAAATTGTCTTTTCCCTCAGTTTCGGACTATACTTTTCTATACAATCAAAAAGGGGATAAGGGTACAGCCACGAGTATATTAAGATGTTAATGCTGACTCAGCTATTTAATATCCCCCATATCTGATAGAATCATATTTAGCTACATATACCAGGACTTCGCCAATGTTTACAGATAAGATAATATGAGCGATATTTTAATAGTCGTTATATTTTTGATTGTTTGATTGTCACGAATCGGAATCATGCGCAAAACATATACAGTTAAAATATCGCGATACAGTACAACTTTCGTTTGTTTATTTCACTCTGAAATGAACATTTGCCTCACAATTATATTTTATTTGTATTTAATTAATCATAGCTGCAAGTGTGCATACCCTCTTCATATACAATACTCACTATCAGTAATGGCGATTTTATATAAATGATTTCGATTTATCAAATTTTCATCGTAGCCACAAGGTATATAAAGGTATGGCATAAACCATCAAAATAGCAGAGTAAAAACAAGTAAGACTCCAAGCAAGTGCTAAAATAAACTGAAATGCAGGATTAACATTTCAATACCAATTTATCAAATAACAATGGATATTCTTCTGGAATGACCAACGATATCTTTGTACTGTTGTTGATTGATGAGGTCATTTGAGAACATTTCTAAAAGACATAAAGCATGTTGAGAAAAAGATAAAAAAAAATAATGATTCATCGTTGGTGAAATTTCCTTTCATTTACCATAAATCCATAGAATCAACACATCTTAATGGTTATAAAAATATACATTATAACATAGTGAATGTAATAGATTGAAATGATAAATTTTCAAATCAAATTTCACTTTGTGAATTTTCCTGGATACACTATGTAAATAATGATACAAATCACTTTTAGTCCAAGCAAAGAAGAGGGATATAAACTACTGTATATGAGTGTTTTATAGCTAGATTAAAAAACGCATACCTTGCTGCGACTACAAACGAAATGTTCTGCTATTTAAAACACCAAGATAGTCCTTGGACTTTGTGAAGAATATTTCTACGCACTACCGGTATTCCGGTATTTCAGATATTTCTAGTTTACATAGAATTGTATTGTTAGCAAGGTGGATATACAATGCCAATTAAAATTTGATTCCTGTCTGACCCTTTTAATGTCCTAATTAGATAACAACCTGTGTTGTCCGTGAGTAACGATACCTGAAATTCTTCACGTCAAGCTTCCTTTTTAGTCAGATAATAATTTCCACTTTTCTTTATTTGGAAACATTCTAGCTCTGCCTGTACGTTTTTATTATTATATCTGTTCTGATGCCTAATAATGCTTTAAACAGTTTTATGAGGGCTATTGTCCTTGTACATGTGCAAAGAGGTAGCTTTTTGACCGATATAACCTGTTTGACCACATTAACAAAAATCACATAACATGATGATGTACTTGTACTGTGTTTTTACAGTCTAACCATACAAATGCAGGCCTGGTGTAACTCGGGTTACACGGGACCCGGATGTAAATTCCATTACACTGGGACTAGCCCGTACGTCTCTTGTCAACACGGTCACTTGGGTCTGCAGTGTTCAAATGAAGGTAAGTCTGTATCGACAAGGTACATGTATCAACGATGATATATATGTACCTACAATGTACAAATAGGGGTTAGTCTGTATCGACAAGGTACATGTATCAACGATGATATATATTTACCTACAATGTACAAATAGGGGTTAGTCTGTGTCGACAAGGTACATGTATCAACGATGATATATGTGTACCTACAATGTACAAATAGGGGTCCGTCTGTACCGACAAGGTACATGTATCAACGATGATATATATTTACCTACAATGTACAAATAGGGGTTAGTCTGTATCGACAAGGTATATGTATAAGCGAGGGTAAATATATATCTACAATGTAGCAGTAAGGGTAAGTCTGTATCGAGAAGGTATGTGTATAAGCGAGGGTAAATATATATCTGCACTGTACCAGTAAGGGTAAGTCTGTATCGACAGGGTATATGTATAAGCGAGGGGAAATATATATCTACACTGTACCAGTAAGGGTAAGTTTGTATCGACAGGGTATATGTATAAGCGAGGGTAAATATATATCTAGAATGTAGCAGTAGGGGTAAGTCTGTATCGACAGGGTATATGTATAAGCGAGGGTAAATATATATCTACAGTGTACCAGTAAGGTTAAGTTTGTATCGACAGGGTATATGTATAAGCGAGGGTTAATATATATATCTACACTGTACCAGTAAGGGTAAGTCTGTATCGACAGGGTATATGTATAAGCGAGGGGAAATATATATCTACAGTGTACCAGTAAGGTTAAGTCTGTATCGACAGGGTATATGTATAAGCGAGGGTAAATATGTATCTACAATGTAGCAGTAGGGGTACATTTTTTTGCATTAGTGTTCCAGAAAGAGTCGTTTTCTAATTCTTAAGGATGTACTCTTCTGAGGGTTAAATCACGTTCAAGTCTCGTTTTGATCTGGTGTAACAGGTTTTTGTAATATTTAACAAATTATGATCAGGTTTAATAGCAAACACGCATCTGAAAAATATGTCAAAAAAACTAGATGCCCGTTGTTTGTAGAACTTTTTTTATAAGAATTTAATAAAATGAACAATTCGGCGGCCATTTTGAAGATGTGTATTAACGTGTATTTCTTGCGCTTCACAAACGGCCAAAATTTCACCTTTTTTGACACTAGATTGATCACTTAAATTGTCATTGTGTCGCCATTTTTAATTGTAGCAGGTTCAATTTTGCTGTACAACTTTATAATATTCAATACGATAAAAATAATATGCAACAAAGTGGAAAATGATACATTATTTTTTTTATTTTTTTTTCTACATATTTAGTGTAACTAAAGCCCTTTTGATTTTTGACCCCGAAAAAGGTGAAAATAACACAAATAATAATGGGACAAAAAAAAGCACACGGACCCCTGATTTTTGTTGCTATTTTAGAAAAATAAACATATTTTCTTTTGATTCATTAAATATTTAAAAAAAGTCTAAAAGCAGAACATTTTATATCAAGCGTTTAATCTGCAAAAAATGGTGGAAAAATAAGTATTTTTTCATTAAAAAACAAAGGGTAGGGGCAGCTTAAATCCCAGTTGAAAGAATCAGATTAAGAAATTTTACTTTCACAATTGAAAAGAAAAAAATATTTTTATCAATTCTACAACATTCATACATATCTGGTAACACACTTGGAAGAAATTGTATGAATTTGTTCTGCAAATGGGGGGAAAAAACACACCTAAAATCACACTAGTGTGTTATATTGATCATAGCAGAAAAACGAACACACGGACGTATATTTTGTTTACATTTTCTAATATGCCATTATCTCCTTTTTCAATAAATCCATTTAAGAAAAAAGAAAAAATAAATACGGGAATTTTTGACTTCTCAGAGGTGTACATCCTGAATTGATTGATATAAATATTTAAACCTATCTACTGTTTATCTTTCCTTACACTATGTAGTATCAATGTTTAACATATTTATATAAATCAGTTCCTGTAATACTGTGCTATCAAGTATTACTTCCAGTGCTAGATATACAATAACATAAACAATAAATAATGCCAAATATAATTATATCATTGACAGTAACACATCTATCGTAATACCTTAACAATACAATCTACAATTGGCAATCTGATGTTTCAGAACCGGTTATCGTTAGATACACATCCTACACATCGGCTTCCATCAGGTCAATTCAGACATTTCAAAGATACATTGCTGCCTTCCTTAAACAACACGTATGTGATACAATGCAACTTTATGAGAAACGGTCTCTGTGGTCTTATTCAAGGTAAGCGACACGATTATTACTTTATATAAACCACTTTTCAGTTTATTTAAGGTAAGTATTATATATACTCACTTGATTACCTTATGACTCATCAATAAGTGAGCACATTTATAGTGAGTCGTCAACGACATCACGTTACCAATGGGTATATATTTACACTAATTCGTTTACATTCCGTTGCTTTATATTCCTTTTGCATTATTAGATATGATATTTATTACTATTTTCGGCGATAAGATATGTAATTTTGTTAACTTGATAAAACTGATATCTTAACCAGTTTGGTAGATATATACGTAATTTACAATTTGAAAAGATCAGTTAGTATTAACCAATTAGAACAGCACTCTCCATTCACTGCACGAATCCGAATCAATTACCTACACCATTGATATCATTTATGTTAGCAAATCTTTCCAAATTATAACAAAACCGATCAATTATGTTGAGTAGCCCCATTTAATTGGCGCGCATCCTTGTTGTTAAGCGATGTGTCATTGAGCCAAATATTACCCTATGATATCCCTAACTGCTATGATGATGTAGTAGTTTTTTCGTCATTGTAGGAAGTTTTCAAATGTAGGAAATAGCAATTGTTTGTACCACACATCTTTCACGAATATGGCAGAATACGGATATTTTTCACAAGTGCAAGCATGGGTTAAAACCTAGGTTTATACTTGGTATAATTTATTAAATATATTCATCGGCATTTTTTTGGAATTTGAAGAACTCAAAATTAGAATACCACAAGTAGACACAACCATCCATGCCAACAATGGTGATTAATATAAGCTGCAATAATAATGTCAAATAAATAAAATATATATTATAAATGGATATGAGTCGTCATGTGTATTATGTGATTGTTGCTTTTTTTACCATCTTTACCATTTTGTTAAAATTACTGTCTGGTGTAAATAAGATAGTACCATGTTAAACCTTACTCAATGATTGCCATTATCAGGCTCGGTTTCACTGCGAAGTGTGGCAACAGAAGTGTGGAGCCCATAGTTATACAGGCGGCGTTAGCCACAGAGGGATACGGGAACACAGGGAGCCTGAAATTTGTCCCAACGACACTGAACAACTACCACACAGGGGTACGTAATCCCATTTATCCTCTCAATGATAATGTATATACAAAACAAAGGGATCAAGGAGTCTTTTTTAGAGGGGACGAAGTTTGGTGTCTGGGGACGGGGGATAAGTGGAGATGAAGTTACAGTTTAGTGTTGAAGTGTTACCTTGAAAACATACAACAAGCACCGACCCCAACCAAGGACTTTGTTAGTTGAAGTGTTGTCTTGTAGGCAAACAACAAGCACCGACTCTAACCAATGACTGTATTAGTTGAAGTGTTGTCTTGTAGACATACAACAAGCACCGACTCCCACCAAGGACTGTATTAGTTGAAGTGTTGTCTTGTTGACATACAACAAGCACCGACTCCAACCAAGGACTGTATTAATTGAAGTGTTGCCTTGTAGACATACAACAAGCACCGACTCCAACCAAGGACTATATTAGTTGAAGTGTTGTCTTGTAAACATACAACAAGCACCGACTCCAACCAAGGACTGTGTTAGTTGAAGTGTTGTCTTGTAGAAATTCAACAAGCACCGACCCCAACCAAGGATTGTGTTAGTTGAAGTGTTGTCTTGTAGGCAAACAACAAGCACCGACTTCAACCAATGACTGTATTAGTTGAAGTGTTGTCTTCTGGACATACAACAAGCACCGACTCCAACCAAGGACTGTGTTAGTTGAAGTGTTGTCTTGTAGACATATAACAAGCACCGACTCCAATCAAGGATTGTTTTAGTTGAAGTGTTGCCTTGTAGGCAACAACAAGCACCGACTCCAACCAATGACTGTGTTAGTTGAAGTGTTATCTTGTAGGCAAACAACAAGCACCGACTGCAACCAAGGACTGTGTTAGTTGAAGTGTTGTCTTGTAGACATACAACAAGCACCGACTCCAACCAATAACTGTGTTAGTTGAAGTGTTATCTTGTAGGCAAACAACAAGCACCGCCTCCCACCAATGACTGTATTAGTTGAAGTGTTGCCTTGTAGGCAACAACAAGCACCGACTCCAACCAAGGACTGTATTAATTGAAGTGTTGCCTTGTAGGCAAACAACAAGCACCGTCTCCCACCAATGACTGTATTAGTTGAAGTGTTGTCTTGTAGACATTCAACAAGCACTGACTCAAACCAAGGACTACATTAGTTGAAAGCTCTGTTTTACGATACTATTGTTTGTGTTATATGAAATAGATTTTCAGTTTAAAGTTTGATAATTGATCTAGAAAAAAATACAACATAAACGCAATTTATGATCACAATACACTTGGTACATACATATGTAGATACCTGTAGTTGTCGACTGTTGGGTACAAATTGTCTGGTCACATTAAAATACCTTTATTTAATCAATGTATACTCTTATTCAATGGGATATGAGACAAAAAATGTGAACCCGGAGGGGGGTTTACTGATATTTCTAGCTTCATAATTTTATAGAAGAAATAACTCAGAATAAAGTAAAAAACATCATCTATTTATATTTTAGTTAAGTAGGTAAATGTTGCAAAATATAAATGAAAATCTATTGTTTTCTTTTGTAATATTTGATTAGATGGCCGTAGCTGCGATTTTTGCGGTTAAGATTCAAACCTACGCAAACACTGATCGTTCCAGTGAAACTCCTGGAACACCAGTCAGGAAATGTTGTGACGGCGGCAGTCTTCCCCATTGTGATACCGACACGTGTGACACACATTTCAGGATCTGTGTCAACAAGTAAGTACCCTATCGGATACATCATTGAATTGTAATAAGCTGTTAAAGTTAAGATAGATATAGACTCGTTGTAATTATACTGTAGATAACTTTATATCTACTATAGTTATAGTTGTCATAAACTCATGTCTACTGTAGTAATAGTTTAAACAATTAGTATCCGTTTTAATCATTAATCAGATCAATTTAGATCCGTTAAATATTGTAGTTATATATTCGATCGATTTAAGTCCGTTATCGTCTTGGATAAGACTACTTATACAGTTTAATTTCAGCTTTATCAAGTTTATACTCATTTTAGTTATTATAAAGGTAGCTACATGTAGATCTCATTACTTCTTTCATCAAGACAAACGTTGATGTGTTCATTCATTTTATGTCTCGACACCGTTATTTCGTAACATTTTTCTTATCATTTTTTCCCCTTTTTTGTTGTTGTTGTTGCTTTTTAAATTCTAAATTCTTAATATTGTTTTTAAAATACTACTTGTCAAAATTGCTTTGCTTTCATCAAACAGAAAAACTTTTTCACATACCAGTGTAGGCTTATTAGTCCAACATTGTGAAAAGCTGTTCAATAACTTACTGCTTTTCTGTTGTAGCTTTCGGAAATAGATCATATCGTAACTTCACATTTTCTTAATCTAAATTCTACTAGTTCCCAACTTTCATCAAACAGAAATCTTACGTCAGCTTATTAGACTAGAAATATGTCAAAATGACATCAGTTCAGTTCTTTATTACCTTGAACCTTACGGCTCATCAGTTCAAAATAAACATATGTACAATGATAAACAATACAATCACGCACACCCATATCGACACACGCCCACAAATACACACTCACATAGCAATTGGTATAGTGTAGAGAGACCTTCCTCTTTATATTGCTGCATAGTCTTTTCTTTTCTAATTGCTCAGTTTAATATATTTGGTTAAATTTGTTAACTGTTTTTTGTTCAGTGTTTCTATAAGTTTGATAAATGTATACATGCTAGGTATTTCATAGTAATATTTCTTAATAAAACGCTTTTTTAAATCTACAAAACATTCACATTTTAATATAAAATGAAATTCATTTTCAGTATCACCACTGTTGCAGTATGCACATGTTCTTTCAATCCTATCTACATTGTTATACCTACAAATTTCAATATTTAATTTGTGAGATGACAGTCTAATTTTTGTAATTTCTTTCAAATTTGTATTTCCTATTGGTTTTGATAGATATGGTTGTACACAGAAATTTTCGCCAATTAGCTTGTACAATGAATCTATTCACAATCTTGCTTACATATATCACACATTCTGCTTTTAATCATATTCATAATATAATCGGATGTATTGGTATCTCCATATTGCCATATGTACCCTACTCTCATTCTAAATAGTTCGTTTCTTACTCCATTCATCCATTCACTACCATTTTCTAACATTTCTAACAAGCATGTAAAACACAATTGTCAGTTTGTTTTAATTTTAACCAGTATTTAAAAATTCTAGATTTCCTAATTATTTCCAAAGGCAATCTTCCTAACTCTTGGTAAACCATAAAGATTGCCGTATATTTATTAACCCCTAAGATTCCTTTACAAAAACTTAAATGTATTTTCTCTATTTCTGGTGCTCTATGAAAGCCTCAAACTTCCGCTCCATATAATTAGACACATTTGATACTGAAAACAATGTTTTTCTTCCTTGTTCAGCATTTTCTTTTTTTTTTTTTTTTTTAATTTACCATTAAAATTCATTAATATTCCCGGGTAATTAAATTCATCTTCAATATCTAATGCACATCCATCAAAGTACCACTTATCTTAATTTACCCCCTTTACGGCAAACCATCACCTTGGTCTTAGAAGTATTTACCATAAGATTCCATTTAATTGTATATAGTAACAATGTATCTAACATTTTCTGCCATCCCTCAGAAGTTTCGGCCAATAACACCATATATTATATCGTCTGCATACATCATTAAAAATAAATTAATAGTTTGTAGCTCTATAGAAGGACACCCTTCCGTTAAAAAATTCATTTCGCAATCATTGACATACAAAGAAAACATTAGGGGAGACATAATTTCCCCTTGAAATAATCTGACATGTTTTTGTTATACCTCACACAACATTTTACATCTCTGTACAAAGAACGTATAATATTCAACATCTTTCCTTCTATACCTTTTTTTAACGAAGCCAAAAGCTTTGTTGTAATCAATAAAACAGCAATACAGTCTATTTAGATTTTCAGGGTTTTACTTATTAATGTGTGTAATACAAATATAGCGTCAATAGTTGATAAATTCTTCTTAAAACTGAGCATGACTTAGTTTAGAATAGTCATTATCGAAATTAGCAAGACGCTCATTAAGAATTGATGTAAACAAAAACAACTAAACAACTTACTAAAGTAATTCCTCTGTAATTATTGGTATCGTTCTTGTCTCCTTTCTTAAAAATAGGAATTATATTACCTACCGACCATGATGTAGGATAAAAACCAGATTTAAAAACATTGTTAAACAGTACCACAAGACATGGCATAAGTACTTCTTTACCCTTAAAAAAAATCTTATTAATCAGTAGATCTGGACCACACGCCTCTGAGTTACTCAATTTATTGATAGCTTTAAGCACTTCACTATCAGATATCTGATCATCTAATTCTTGAAACATAGTATTTGGTATATTAACATCTTAATTTCATTCTCAACAGGTTCCGTTGAAGACATTTCGCTAAAAAAATTGAAAAAGTCTTGTTCACTAAGATCCTCCTTATCGTTACTCCTTCTTTTCTTGAATCAGTAATCCATCATATTACCTTGTTGATCTATATATTCACGCTTTAATCTAGCTTCCAGTTTTTTTAAAAGTTACGCTTTTTAGATATAAAATGTTCTTATTTTCCTCTGACTTAAGTGAATTAAAAGCAAATAATGCGTTTTTGTATTCGATATATCTGTTTTTACAAACTTCGTTAAACCATGATTTATCCTTCACTCGAACTTTTTTAACTTTTCTTTAGGCGTATGTAGTAACATTTAACGGCACTAACAATTCATTTAACATATTAGTAAATTCATTCACACACTCATCTATACATTTTTGATTATCCTCAATATTATTACAAGTATTAAATAATTCTCTACGGTTTTCCTCTAGTAAATGCAATGCTCTCTCTGCATGATCCTCATTCCATTTAACATGTGTATATATATTATCTTTATCATTATAATCAGGTACAGGTTCGTTTTGTTCAAATGAATGCACAGTAATACAAATTGGAGACTGGTCTGAAAAAAACATTAAATATTCCACTCTCAAAGTGAGTAATATTCTTTAAGAAATCATCAACAGTCAATACATAATCTATTAGACTAGATCCCCTATTATTCAAAAAGGTTATACATTGTACTACCATCATTATGTCGTCTATTTACAATTCTCAAGGAGGTAATTTTACACAGTGAAAGAAGATTCTTCCAAATTGGTTAATATGCAGGTCAGAATTGGAACGTTTGGATGGTACAGAATCATTTACATAATTTACAATATTTGAAATAACATGCGCAGGCCCTTTATTGACAATATCATTACTTATATAATCGTCGTACTACTAATGAAATATCCTAATACAATCAATTTACCTAATCCTTTATATTCACACACCATTTCCTAAAGTCTGGCAAAAATATCGATTTCACATTTGTGATAAAAAACACTATATACAGGTGGGGAAAAACAAGCAAATGCATAAATATCACTGACATTATTTCCTATGTTATTGTATATTTTCAACAATACAATGTTGTCATTAATTACACTACAATAATCGCAGATAGTTGATATGATAAAAAATATAATTCCACCGCCTTAACCATGCATTCTAGGAAACACAGCTGTCATAACCTTACAATACACTTTTCCAAGTAGTTTCCTGATCGTCTGCAAATCCAACTGAATGGGACATCGATATCGGCAGAGTGTGTACGCTAAAGGCAGTCACTCTAACAGGTCCGACGAGGACCACTAGCAGAAAAATTCGCGAGACATGAAGAACACCAAATAATTGTGATTTCAGCAATTCTCATTTGAAAAGAAACGATCGGAATGTATTTGGCTGTTTTGAGCCCGTTAATATTTATTTTTCAAACTCTAACTTTTATCATTATCGGTTCAATTCGCATGGATGTCACTTGTGAATCCATGCCGGTTAATACTTGTAGTATCACGCGACCTTGACTCTTTGCGGTACACAATTTTGCGAACTTCGCCACTTTACCCATGTCGTTTTGACACATTCCTACTGTCACGATTGAATACTTCAGCATGATGTTACCCAAGAACGACATTTTAACACCAGAGTGCTAATAACGATGCAATTTTTCGTTATGTTTCCCCATACGTGATATTTCTCAATTCATAACGTAACGTTGTGAAAAGTTGGGCCTACTTTACTCGAGTTTATTTATCCGATTCTATCGTATAATATGACTAAAAATTGCAACTTTAATAATGATTGAATTGGCAATGCAATCAGGGGTATTCAACGAAATTTTGCAGTTTATTGCTGCGAGCATATTTCAAAATATTTCCGGAAACCATCGAAAAATGTACGATAAATGGTCGCGAACAAGGCCTGGTTTTGGATTGTTCTTGAGTATCGTGTACACCCCTTTCTTGACACTTCATTTTTCCTTTTGAAACAAAAGTGCGCATTGTACGCGAATATCATGAGACAACTATCTCAACAAAACCATGATTCGACCACAAATTGATAAAACTAAAGAAATCTACATGGAGACTATTGAAAAAGAAAAAGGAGAATAAGACCAATTGTTCCGGAAGGGTAAGCGTCTTCTGCTGCAACGATGACACACGCGATTCTATGTCTAATCCAAGTAATTCCACGCCCTCAAATCAAAAACTAGGGTAGTGACAAACAAAACCATAAGGTACTATAATGAGCAAAATCAAAAACATCAACCTTCTTATCACACAAAGAAATAGCATATTTCCCTGCAAGATTCTGATGGAAACAATAAATCTTGTCCACAGGCTTCATCAACCTGTGTCTTTTGAAACCCTGTGTTCTAAGTTTGTCCGCCTGCAGTCGAAATCTATTTCAGAAGTAATGATATTCGGAGCAAGCTCTTGTGTACCAAATCAACTGCAACATGGACACACCGTTAGTAGGAGATTAGGGATGCTGCTTTCAATGAAGGGAAGATTTACGATCAGAAAGTCGAAATCATCCCGCTTATCGTACAGCTTAGAAATCAGCCGTCCTTTTCGTCAAGTTGTAAGTTAATATAGAGTAAAGTGGCTGAAGTAAAGTAGTCTGTAGTGACATTAATCTCAAGCTCTAAAGCGTATATACGATTGATTTGGTGGTCAATGAATTTCTTGTATTCAACTTGGAATTCAAAGACAGAAAATCGTCGATATCTCCGACTGTGAAATTGAAGGACTCTGCAAGATTTTGTTACCAGTCCCGATAAGCTCACCAATAAACTCAGCTTCATATGAAAACAGAAATAAATCGGTCAGAAGATGGGCACAGTTTGTTCCCATAGGAATGCCTACAGTCTGCTGGAAACTCTTGTCACCAAACTCAACAAAGATTATGTCAACCAGGTACTCAAATCATTCTTTAAATATCGTCCTCAGGATATTTCCAAAATATACCACAAAATAATTTATAACCATATATGTATATCGTCGTGCGCCTTTCTTTGGAAAGAAACCTCTCATGTAAAGAGTACGAAGGCATTCCTTCAGTTTGGTCAGAGGAATGGTAGCGTAAAGAGTCAAAAAGTCAAAGGTTTTGATATAAGAAACATTTTTGAGAATGGGGTGTGCAAGATTGATCAAATTGTCTTTTGAATTCTTCTAAATCTACATACCGTTTATTTTACTTCTTGAATATATGGTGTCACAATACAAGTATAACACTGATTTAATGGTACTGAGAATGGTAGTGAAACATTAAGATAATGGCTTGGATGAGCGACCAGAAGAGCATGCGATAAGATATTGATTATAAGGATTCTTTTGAAAGTGGGGAATCCAAAACAAACGAGGCAGGTTCGTATCCTTATCATTAATGGGAATTCGATAAAAATGTAATACAGAAGAGTGATTTGCTAGTAATTTGTCTTTTGAATTTCTGATTTCTGTCTGCAAGCAGGTAATGAAATAATATCGCAGACAGAGGTTATTAGATGCGATGTGTCCATAAGTACATACCTATCATGCAGATCGTTGAGTGAGGTTTGGACATAGGAGTCAAGAAATGCAAGTTGTATTTTGTTTCCCATTTAGGATTTCAAATGACTTTACATTTCGGTCATACATGTACTTTCCTGAAATCATGATTATACTATATTTTCATGTTTTCGATTACGAATTATGAAACATTGAAACACCCTTTTTATTTTGATGCTTGTTGATAGCTGTAATCTTGTACCGATTGTTTTACACAGCGACTCACACAACGCCGGAACTGGGAGCTGTATCAACACAAACATCAGACCAGACACTAACCAGCTCGCCAGTTGTGGAGATTTACGTGTAAATCAGGCTACCAACCAGTTGGATTTTGCATCTACGTACATTTCAGTTACGGACACATGGACCTGGGTAAGTGATACAGAATGCTGTCTTATTAAATACTTAACATCCCGTTAATATTTGTTTATCAGTTATTTGTTTATCAGTTTAGGTCAAACAGGACCAAGCTGTCGACATAGGTAACCGGTAGAACTGTCAAAAGAGAGAAACAACGATTATGTTAAACAAGGCAGAAGAAGGAAAATACAATGATATCATGTATTGTCATTGGTGCAGACAACACATTTTGATTTCGTCAAGGTATTTTCAGCCTTACATTAGTCGCATCAGCCGAATACTTGAACCATTAACCTGTACGAAACTGTTTGATAGTATGATTGGCTGTAATCATTCACTTGCATTTCATGAAGAAAAATGTATTTCTTATTTAACTCACAGACACAAAGAGTCAATACGGAGCTTTGGCTATTTAATGACGTCACTTAGTTTCTGGCTGAGGCCAGGGTTGGCTGTGACCGTGTAGTTTGAATTATATTCTGACATGGTTTGTTTACACGAAACACTGGTTAATGTTTTTGTTGTTTAGCTAAAATATGTATGACGTGTTAAAGAGTTGTATAGGCTCCATAGCACACGTTAGACGTGGGTCTTCTCTCTGTAACACTACAAATGAACACGTTAGACATTGGACTTCTCGCTGTTACTTTAAACATTAACACTAAAGACATTGGACTTCTCGCTGTAACACTACAAATTAACACTTTAGACATTGGACTTCTCGCTGTAACACTACAAATGAACACGTTAGACTTGGGTCTTCTCGCTGTAATAATACAAATGAACACGTAAGATATGTGTCTTCTCGCTGTAATACTACAAATGAACACGTTAGATATGTGTCTTCTCGCTGTAACACTACAAATGAACACGTTAGATATGTGTCTTCTCGCTGTAATACTACAAATGAACACGTTAGACATGGGACTTCTCGCTGTTACCTTAAACATTAACACTAACGACATTGGACTTCTCGCTGTAACACTACAAATTAACACTTCAGACATTGGACTTCTCGCTGTAACACTACAAATGAACACGTTAGATATATGTCTTCTCGCTGTAAAACTACAAATTAACACTTCACACATTGGACTTCCCGCTGTAACACTACAAATGAACTCGTTAAACATTGGACTTCTCGCTGTAACACTACGAATGAACACGTTAGATATGAGTCTTCTCGCTGTAATACTACAAATGAACACGTTAGATATGTGTCTTCTCGCTGTAATACTACAAATGAACACGTTAGACATGGGACTTCTTGTTGTAACACTACAAATTAACACGTTAGACAAGGGTCTTCTCGCTGTCAAACTACAAATAAGCATGGGTCTTTTCGCTGTAACACTAAAAATTAACACGTTAGACATGGGACTTATCGCTGTAACACTAAACAATTAACACGTTAGACATGGGACTTCTCACTGTAACACTACAAATTAACACGTTAGATATGGGACTTCTCGCTGTAACGGTACAAATGAACACGTTAGACATCGATCTTCTCGCTGTAACACTACAAATGAACATGTTAGACTTCGATCTTCTCGCAGTAACACTTCTAATGAACACGTTTGACATTGGACTTCTCGCTATAACACTACAAATGAACACGTTAGAGATGTGTCTTCTCGCTGTAATAATACAAATGAACACGTTAGATATGTGTCTTGTCGCTGTAATACTACAAATTAACGCGTTAGATATGTGTCTTCTCGCTGTAATACTACAAATGAACACGTTAGATATGTGTCTTCTCGCTGTAATACTACAAATGAACACGTTAGACGTGGGACTTCTCGCTGTAATAATACAAATGAACACGTTAGATATGTGTCTTCTCGCTGTAATACTACAAATGAACACGTTAGATATGTGTCTTCTCGCTGTAATACTACAAATTAATGCGTTAGATATGTGTCTTCTCGCTGTAATACTTCAAATGAACACGTTAGACGTGGGACTTCTCGTTGTAACACTACAAATAAACACTTCGACATTGGACTTCTCGCTGTAACACAACAAATGAACACGTTAGACATTGGAATTCTCGCTGTTACACTTCAAATGAAAACGTTAAATATGTGTCTTCTCGTTGTAACGCTACAAATGTACACGTTAGACATGTGTCTTCTCGCTGTAATACTACAAATACACACGTTAGATATGTGTCTTCTCGCTGTAACACTACAAATGAACACGTTAGATATGTGTCTTCTCGCTGTAATACTACAAATGAACATGTTTGACATGGGTCTTCTCGCTGTAACACTACAAATGTAAACGTCAGACAAGGGACTTTTCGCTGTACCTTAACGCGTTAGACATGTGTCTTCTCGCTGTAGCACTACAAATTAACATGGGTCTTCTCGCTGTAACACTACAAATTATCATGGTTTTTCTCGCTGTTACACTACAAATAAACACGTTTGACATGGGTCTTCTCGCTGTAACACTACAAATATATACGTAAGACATGGGACTTTTCGCTGTAATACTACAAATAAACATGGGTCTTCTCGCTGTAACACTACAAATTAACATGGGTCTTCTCGCTGTAACACTACAAATGAACACGTTTGACATGGGACTTCTCGCTGTAATACTACAATTTAACGTGGGTCTTCTCGCTGTAATACTACAAATTAACATGGGTCTTCTCGCTGTTACACTACAAATGAACACGTTTGACATGGGTCTACACGCTGTAACACTACAAATCAACACGTTAGACATGGGGCTTCTCGCTGTAACACTACAGATCAACACGTTAAACCTGGGACTTCTCATTGTAACACTACAAATGAACACGTTAGACATTGGACTTCTCACTGTAACATTACAAATAAACACGTAAGACATTGGACTTCTCGCTGTACCTTAACGCGTTAGACATGGGTCTTCTCGCTGTAATACTACAAATGAACATGGGTCTTTTCGATGTAACACTACGAATTAACACGTTAGATCTGGGACTTCTCGCTGTAACACCACAAATGAACACGTTAGACATTAGACTTCTCACTGTAAAACTACAAATGAACACGTTAGACATTGGACTTCTCGCTGTAACACTACAAATGAACACGTTTGTCATGGGTCTTCTCGCTGTAACACTACACATAAACACGTAAGACATGGGACTTCTCGCTGTACCTTAACGCGTTAGACATGGGTCTTCTCGCTATAATACTACAAATTAACATGGTTCTTCTCGATGTTACACTACAAATTAACACGTTAGACATGGTTCTTCTCGCTGTAATACTACAAATGAACACGTTTGACATGGGTCTTCTCTTTGTAATGCTACAAATGAACACCTAAGACATTGGTCTTCTAGCTTTACAGTGACACTACACATAAACACGTAAGACATGGTTCTTCTCGCTGTAATACTACAAATGAACACGTTTGACATGGGTCTTCTCGCTGTAATGCTACAAATGAACACGTTTGACATGGGTCTTCTGACTGTAATACTACAAATTAACATGGGTCTTCTCGCTGTAACACTACAAATGAACACGTTTGTCATGGGTCTTCTCGCTGTTATGCTACAAATGAACACGTAAGACATTGGTCTTCTAGCTTTACAGTGACACTACACATAAACACGTAGGACATGGGACTTCTCGCTGTACATTAACACGTTAGACATGGGTCTTCTCGTTGTAACACTACAAATAAAACCATCGCAAACATTAGCCAGAATACGGAAACACGCAAAATAAAACCATCGTAAACATTAACCGGATTATAGAACCTGATATAGTTGAAAACATAAATTGGGAGCAATGCTAGTTTGAAAACATCAGAAGTCTTTAATCCCGGTCTGATGGTTGTTATTTGTCATTTGATGATCAGGAGGATACTCTGAAAAATCTATATATATATTTTATTTACCCTAGAGGTTTTTGGTATATATATTTTTTCCCGTTTCAGAACAATACGTACATTCACGTCGAAGCGAGAGACGCTGATGATGGAGATAAGTATGACGTCATAGACACCCTTACGTTAAAAAAGGATCTGACCCCCGGGTATTGGGATCTGTCAAACGCGGCCTCGGTATCAGTTCTACTCCAAGGTCACGTCAGGTATCCGTTAGCTTACAAACTCTAGCTAAAAGAGTAGATACACATTGTTATGGCGTCATTTATAACCAATGCATTAGTTATAACAAACTAGTAAAGTGGATTTGGCTTACATGTATATGTCAGGTTTGGTTATTTTAAATGCTCTTATCATTAAAATAAATGTTTCCCACCCTTCACAGGTGTGTCTCCCGTTTCAGCTGGGAAAGATCAGCTCGTCACTCCCTAGGGAGAGATAGCCTCGTGCTGATAAGCACGTGTTTAATAGTGATGTCATTTATAAACGTGTCAACGGTAACTGTGACGTCATCAAAAGTGAATCATGATAATCATACCCCACATGTGTTTTTGTTTACAAAGAGACTACTGTCGGTGGAATTGTGACTGAAATAATAGAATGGGAGAAAAAAAACATCCCCTAACTTGAGGGTGTAGCAGAGAAATATCCAACCCTCGGGGTGATTGTTTGGGTGACAACCAAAAATGATCACCCCTCGGGTTGGATAGTCCTCTTTCACAGCCTCGAGGTAGGGGGAAATTCTATGGGTCACACAGAGAATAATCTGAGACATACTGTTTTGACCAAAATATAAATTACATCTTACCTTCGTTTAACCTAGTTATCTCCATGTTATTACATCTTACCTTCGTATAACCCAGTTATCTCCCTATAATTACATCTAACCTTCGTTTAACCTAGTTATCTACCTATAACCTTCGGTTAAACTAAAAACCCTATAAGTACATCTAACCTTCGGTTAACCTAGTTATCTCCTTATAATTACATCTAACCTTCGGTTAACCTAGTAATCACCTTATTATTACATCTAACCTTCGGTTAACCTAGTTATCTCCCTGTAAGTACATCTAACCTTCGGTTAACTTAATTATCTCCTTATTAATGCATCTTACCTTCGCTTAACCTAGTTATCTCCTTATAATCACATCTAACCTTCGTTTAACCTAGTTACATGTATCTCCCTATAATTACATCTAACCTTCGTTCAACCTAGTTATCTCCTTATAATTACATCTTACCTTCGGTTAACCTAGTTAAATCCCTATAAGTACATCTTACCTTCGTTTAACCTGGTTATCTCCTTATAATCTCATCTAACCTTCGTTTAACCTAGTTATCTCCTTATAATTACATCTAACCTTCGGTTAACCTAATTATCTCCCTATAAGTACATCTTACCTTCGTTTAACCTAGTTATCCCCTTATAATTACATCTAACCTTCGTTTAACCTAGTTATCTCCTTATAATTACATCTAACCTTCGTTTAACCTAGTTATCGCCATGTAGTTACAACTACCTTGTAACCTAATCGTTTAACCTAGTCTGTTATTTGTCTGTAATAACATTTAAAATCAACTGCTGTGTTTACTGAATTATGTCAGCTACGTGTAATGCTGTCTCCGTTATTATATTTTGACTTTGTTGTTATATTAACTGAGATATCTGGAATACTCAAGTATTTCCATAAAACTTGATTGATTGGAACATGATGTAATGTTTCAGGCTGAGCCTAAGGTTGTTGGTCAGGTGTGGCGCCAATAGGTACGGGAAGAATTGTGACGTACAGTGTACAGCCAGCGGACATAGGTCATGTGACCCAGATACTGGCGCCACGATCTGTCAATCTGGTGAGTATATTAGGTTACATAGCATCATGAAACGTACATTCAAATATTGACATCAGTATTGCTTTAAGTGATTTGAACTGTGACATTAAGGAAACAACTGCACAATCCGATCTCATCATGTCTAAAACGATAAAAGACTGACAAACGAACGAATTAAAATCCGAATCGTATGAGTTGACTCTAGTGTTTCATAAGCATTAAATTTTTTCCTTTGCATCTGGATTTGGGTTTGCTAACTGAATTTAATTTTATACCCTCCATTAAACTACAATTTTGAGGGACCTAATTTTTGGAAAAACGTGATACATAGTTTGCGTCATTAAGTGTATTAAGACAATGACTACTGTCGGTGGAATTGTGACTGAAATAATAGAATGGGAGAAAAAAAAACATCCCCTAACTTGAGGGTGTAGCAGAGAAATATCCAACCCTCGGGGTGATTGTTTGGGTGACAACCAAAAATGATCACCCCTCGGGTTGGATAGTCCTCTTTCACAGCCTCGAGGTAGGGGGAAATTCTATGGGTCACACAGAGAATAATCTGAGACATACTGTTTTGACCAAAAAATAAATTACATCTTACCTTCGTTTAACCTAGTTATCTCCATGTTATTACATCTTACCTTCGTATAACCCAGTTATCTCCCTATAATTACATCTTACCTTCGTATAACCTAGTTATCTCCCTATAATTACATCTAACCTTCGTATAACCCAGTTATCTCCCTATAATTACATCTTACCTTCGTATAACCTAGTTATCTCCCTATAATTACATCTAACCTTCGTTTAACCTAGTTATCTCCTTATAATTACATCTAACCTTCGGTTAAACTAAAAACCCTATAAGTACATCTAACCTTCGGTTAACCTAGTTATCTCCTTATAATTACATCTTACCTTCGGTTAAACTAAAATCCCTATAAGTACATCTAACCTTCGGTTAACCTAGTTATCTCCTTATAATTACATCTAACCTTCGGTTAACCTAGTAATCACCTTATTATTACATCTAACCTTCGGTTAACCTAGTTATCTCCCTATAAGTACATCTCTACATGTCTAAAACGATAAAAGACTGACAAACGAACGAATTAAAATCCGAATCGTATGAGTTGACTTAAGTTTTCATAAGCATTATATTTTTTTACTTTGCATCTGGATTTGGGTTTGCTAACTGAATTTAATTTTATACCCTCCATTAAACTACAATTTTGAGGGACCTAATATTTGAAAAAACGTGATACATAATTTGCGTCATTAAGTATATCAAGACAATGATCATATTCATAATGTACTTTTGTCTCGCAATCACATTGACCGGATCCATTGAAAGTGATCAGTTTACAAAATCTCACGTATATCGGTTTCCGGTGAATATCGATTTTTTGATATAGCTCTAGGGGAATCCCCTACAGTTGTAGCGTATATAAATAGCTGTTTGATACGTTCATGGCTTTTCGATGGTCAGGATCATTTAGCTCCAAAAATAATATTGTATTGGTCAGCACTTTTTTCTTTAGCTAAGATATACAATTTGAAACCTGCAAAAAAAACATGACAGAAAACATCGCATAAAAACTTTTGAGATATAGATTTACTGCTGAAGCATAAAAAGAATTCTGTGATGTTGATTATGATGTGATATGGACCTGGACAAGTTAATATGTTCACAGATTCATATCGTTGTCTTTAATATCAAGTTCATATCACATCATATTAATAATCATAACAGAAGTCCATTATTGTATGATTGTCTTGAAATGAGGTGATTAATATACCAAGTAAATACGTATATTAACGTCCTGAATCACACAGGTTACACGGGAAGTGACTGTCACGACATCGACGAGTGTAAGGAACACTACTGTCACGGACCTGGTACACTTCACTGTACCAACAGACGTGGGTCCTACCAGTGTGGCTGTAATACTGGCTGGACGGGGAAAAACTGTTCACAAGATGTCGACGAATGTCAACACCATCCCTGTCAACATGGAGGTACTTGTAATAACACAGTCGGATCTTACATATGCACGTGTCACGGATTTCATGGACAGAACTGTGAACGTGACATAGACGAGTGTCAGCCAAACAATCCCTGTCAACACGGAGGCACGTGTCACAACACACGAGGGTCATACACGTGCTCCTGTCACGGCTTCACAGGACAAAACTGTTCACAAGATGTCGACAAATGTCAACAAAATCCATGTCAACATGGCGGTACCTGTAATAACACTGTTGGGTCGTACACGTGTTCATGTCACGGATTTAGTGGACAGAATTGTGAAAATGATATAAATGAATGTACCAACGTAACTTGTCCACACAAAAACGCGCATTGTGTGAACAATATCGGATCTTACACGTGTCAGTGTAATACAGGGTGGGCAGGTAGCCAGTGTAATACAGACGTAGATGAGTGTAAACATAATCCCTGTAAACATGGAGGCACGTGTCACAACACACCAGGGTCATACACGTGTCAGTGTAATACAG